GACTAAGCCACCCAGGCGCCCGCCAACCTGATACTCTTAACAGTCTCTAGGTGAAGACTGCCTCACAAGCCAGGGAAAATGCAGACTGACCATCTGGCCCTTATGTTGCACTTACCCTGAGCCCAGGACTGCTCTGGTGGGCACAGACAGAAATGTTCAATATGATCCTGATTCAGAAGGCAAGGCTTCCAGATCCTAGGAATTACCAAGCCCACATTCATTTGGGGCCCAGAGACCCAACGGGGGACACATTCAGGAAGTTAAATGTTTGTACTGAACACATCAAAATGATCCACGGGGAAAAATTTAAATCCTGTAAGAAATGGAAAATTAAGTAGGATTTATTCTTTCAAATCTCACCACAACATTAGGAAGTGGCCCTATTATTATCACTCCTGTTTTATAGATGAAGAAAATGAGGTGCCGGAAGGCAAAATTACTTGTCAAGGTCACAGAGCTAGTATTTGGTGACACTGAGATTTGAACTCCAGCTGCAGAGGTCACACTCTCATACTGTCTCTTGACCACTGTTATGATTTGTTCTGGGATCAAATTAGACCCAAGAACAAAAAAGGAAGATGAAGATAAAATATTAATGATTTTGCCTGATTGACAGTGGTATCCGGTCAGCCTGAAAATTCAAAGAAGTGATTATTCACTTAATTATTAATCACTTCCCTTCTTGGAACTTTGTTATACTTTTATTAGGTATTTACCATGTTTTACCTTATGTGATAACCATGCGATATATGTGATAACACATATCCATATTTTAAATATATTAAACTTTGCTATTTTTCCCTGATTAGACAGCAGTCCCTAAGATCTATACCTTGTTCTGGGGCACCTGGCTGGCTCAGCAGGTACAGCATGCAACTCTTGATCTCGGTGTTGTGAGTCCAAGCCCCACGTTGGTTACAGAGATTACTTAAAAAAATAATAATCATCATCTTAAAAAAAAGATCCGATACTTGCTCATTTTCATGTACCCACAAAGCATTCAGTCTCGCTCATGGTTAGCCTTCTGTAGGTACTAAATACATGTTCTTCACTAGGACTAAAAACCTACTGAAGTAACCTAGCTTTCACCCCTACCTACACATATTTCTTTTATTCATTATCAGTAAAATCTAGATTTGTAAGCTCAGTAAATCCAGGACCCTGTTATTACTCACAATGCTAAATAAGATCACGCCAATGAATTTCATATTCTATATGGGCATTCTTTCAGGTGCTGCTAACATTGAATATTGAAACCACTACATGTGTGGTTGTATGTCAGGGAGCTTCCTAGGAGGCCTTTCAGAAACTGTGCTTAGCAGCAAGAACAGGCAGAACCCAGGGAAGTCCCTCCTTTTCATAGTCATTTAGGTTAATCACAAAAATTCCTATTCCCCAACTCTAAGAGTACACCTAACAACTCCTTTGTAGCCAGGCAGGGCCATGTGATTTGCTTTAGTTGATGAGATGTATGAGATTGGGGCACATCACACAGCACGGGTCTCTGAATGGACACGGTGAACAGAGCCCCTTGTTGGCCCACACTGGACATATAACATGAGCAAGAAAAACCTTGTTGGGTTACTCTGCTGATGGATGGGACTTGTTTGTATTGTACTGGATCATGATGTAGCCTAACCTGATCAATACACTCCCATGGCCCAAATCCACTCCAACGATCCAGCATTTTCGTTACTTTTCACCTTCCTTGATTTAGTGTTGGTAACTGAAGGTACACCACCTCCCTTTACCATCCCCACCTGTGCTTTGCTACGGCATGCCCAGTGAGAGGGTGTGACCAAGATTCTCCCCTTGACCAAAGGCTAGGCAGGCTCCCCTGAGTTCTTTTTCAACTTGGCCCTATCTTTCAGCATATTCTCAACAGCCCCATTTTAGCAGAAGTCCTGCTAAGTCAGTTTAGCCAGAATCCCCCACCCTCAGTATCTGATCACTGATATCTAATCGATATCTGATGAGGTTCCTCATCCTCCACCATCTCCCAGGTGGTATCTGATCACCCTGGCCTGCCTTCAGCAAGAATCCTGTTAGGTTGGCTTAGCCTGATTGTCCCCCACTTACCTTGGACATGTCCTCTTAGTAATTTTCCATCCACTGCCTCCGGCATTGCTCCTTGCCTAGAAATCCCACTTTTCCTTGTTGTATTCAGAGTTGCTCCCAATCTCTCTCCCCTACTGCAAACTCCCAGTGCAGGGGTCCGGGCATCTATCATTATAGTCCCACTGAATAAAAGCCTGTCTTACCATTCCTTTAACAAGTGTATGGATAGCTTTTTCTTTAACAGGTATAAGGACTAAGAAAGCACTAGGTGTCATTATTAACCCCATGGTCGCCAGAACATGTGCCCTGGTTAAAGCAACTTTTCATTCTGAATCTTCCCCCCGGAGAGTTTAGAAAATACTCTTTTCATGTGCTGCCCAGATGTACCTTCCCCGGGTTTGGGAAGGCAGAGATAGTATTGGCATTATTAAGGGGTGATGTTTCCGATACCCTGGCACATCTCCCAAAGCAAAGTTCTGCCCATTTTACTGAGGTAAATGGCTCTGCCTGGCCAGAAGGTACTCGGGGAAAGGGCACATCTGAAGAGAGTATCCTCCTCCTCCCCTAAGACTGTTTGTAACCTGACTTTTTCATCTACTTGAAACTAAAACTTACAATTTGTTGGCCTTCAAATTTTAGCAATTCATACTTTTTTATTTCTAAAACAAGGAGCTCTCAAGGGAAAGGAGTATGATCCCCCCCCCTTAAAAGCTACAGCAAAAGATATGGGGTTTCATCCTTGTTTGATATGCCAATTACTTTTCAGCAGCATTTGAAAAATATTAAAAAGCTTAAAAGAGGAAGCAAGAAAATCTGTATTCAAAACCCCGAACCTGGCCTGTTACAATGTCCCTGGGTGGTCCATATTTGCATTGGGAGATTTAGTTTGGCATTTTAACTTATGTAAATAGATTCTCACTTTCCCCTGTGCCTGAAAGCATTCAAAGAGGGAAGATCCCCTTTCCAAATCAGCGGTAACCTATACCCTCTGAAAGTGAACAGTCACACTTTTCAAGGAAACAGGCAGAGAAGTTTTTTGTTATTCTTTCTTCCACAAAATACACACCAATTCCCACAAACCCTTGCTATTCTGATACTACCAGGGCAGATGGTGAAACAGGAGACATGCTGTCATTTTAAAAGAGGACACTGTCAAAACACACATTCCCCCACAGAGCCTGCTACCTTTCCAGCCACCCAAACCCACCAACTACTGAAATTCCACAAGCCGATTCTGAGACACAATCGTATGGTCATCCCCCAAGCCTGGGCTCACCGTAACACTCAACAGCTAGATAAACTTATAAAAGTTTCCATACGTGCGTTATAGAATCTAAAATACTTTTAACAGGAGAAGACTTCATTCCATTTCAATTCCTAAAATCTTCAGCTTGTTACACAAAGAAATGGGTACTATTTCAGGTCAGAGTAGACCATCTAGCCTGTATTCTAAGAGGGAAACTGACTATGCAAAGGATATAAAATATTGTGTTATCATTTACTCATTAGAGCTATTTAAAATGTACACATTACTCTTGGCTTCACTCTAGACATGAGTATAAAATAGAAATCTGACAAATGAATCAAAATCTCCTTTCCTCCCACCAGAAAGAAACTAAAGAAACCAAACTCCCCCCAAAGAAATCAGACCAAAGATCAAAAGAATTAGCCCAGGGGGCTCATAAATGAAACACCAGACTCAAACCATCCTCCCTGTCATTTCTAGAACGAAAAGTGGCCCTTCTCAAGACTCCCCTTCTCACAGCAGAAATGTTCCATGTGATCCTAATTCAGGAAGGCAAGGATTCCAGAATTCTAGGCATTACTGAGCCTACCTTCAAATTGGGCCCAGACGTGCCATGGAAACTACATTTCAGGAAGTGAATGTTTTTATTAAACACATTAAAATGATCCAAAGGGAAAGAATTAAATCTTATAATAAAAAGAAAATTAAGTGGGATTTATTCTGGCTAGTGTTTCAGGTCAACAAAGCTTATTGAGCATCAACCATGTGCGAGACTCTCCGCTGAAAGATACAAGGATGTCTCAGAGAGCCTGGAGTCTAGAAGGGGGAAAAAGGCATGCACGTAAGTAATATAACTCAAGATAAAAAAAAATTTTAAAGAGCATACCTTTGGGGCGCCTGGGTGGCTCAGTTGGTTAAGTGACTGCCTTTGGCTCAGGTCATGAT